TCTCACATCGTTCTTATGTTGGCGAAGCTGGTCGTGGAAGTTCTTTGTTTCGCCGATGTAAGAGGCATGGCACTGGGAGCATGGGACCTTATAAATGACACCTTAATTGGGCCTTCGCCTTCGGTGGTCTGTTCTTAGGGCGAGGTAGAAAGCATCCGACACTGGTTTGTGAGCAACCAGGACGTGTTCTTTTGCAAACAGTCGGGATAGCATCTCGCTTATCCCTTTCTTGTAAGGGATGCTAATCCGTGCTATCGGTTTGGAAACTGTCGAAGGTTGTTTCATCCAATTACGGTTCTGACGACGGATGACGTGGTGAATGAAGTTACCGGGGGAGCCGTTCTTCTTTAGGTCGTCCATGATAATCCGTTCCTCCTTTCTTTTGTCGTCCTCAGATGAGCACAAGGTGTTGGTTCTGTTAAAAAGAGTAGAAACGACAGATACCTTATGGCCGACGGTGGGTGGAGTCGAACTGGAGGTAATGGTTGGAGGACTCCAACCACCCTGTCGGCCATAAGGTATGTGTCGTTTCTACTCTTTTTAACAGAACCAACACCTTCTGCTCATCTGAGGACGACAAAAGAAAGGAGGAACGGATTATCATGGACGACCTAAGGAAGAACGGCTCCCCCGGTAACTTCATTCACCACGTCATCCGTCGTCAGAACCGTAATTGGATGAAACAACCTTAGATAGTTTCCAAACCGATAGCACGGATTAGCATCCCTTACAAGAAAGGGATAAGCGAGATGCTATCCCGACTGTTTGCAAAAAAACACGTCCTGGTTGCTCACAAACCAGTGTCGGATGCTTTCTACCTCGCCCTAAGAACAGACCACCGAAGGCGAAGGCCCAATTAAGGTGTCATTTATAAGGTCCCATGCTCCCAGTGCCATGCCTCTTACATCGGCGAAACAAAGAACTTTCACGACCAGCTTCGCCAACATAAGAACGATGTGAGAAACTTTGACAAAGAGCGCAGTGCTTTCGCTGAACACTGTGATAACCTCGACCACCGTATTGCATTTGAAAACGCAAGCATCCTGGACACGGCACCAAATCTACTTAGGAGGCGGCTCATTGAATCATGGCATATTCAACACACTTCAAACATCATCAATAGGTCACTAGGGACACTTCCTACGTTATATGTGAACGGCCTCCACAATGGGGTAACGGATAGGGCACGACGAAGCTAACCCAACAACACCGACAAAGACAAAGTGATGTAACACCTAAAAGATGAAGAGACTGACATCCTTTATCCTTAACGGGAATCGTTATCCCGCTTTTCAAAGCTGGAGCGCGAAATAATATTGAAAATTATCGTCCGATTTCAATTTTACCAGGTATTGCTCAGCTGTTAGAAAAACACTTGTGCTTGGTCATGACACGCTTTTTGGATAAGCATCGTATTATGTCGCCCTCTCAGTACGGTTTCGTGCAAGGTCGAGGCACTCAAATGTTACTTGAAGATTTTTCTGATTTGCTGAACTCGTCGTTTGAGCGGAATCAAGTCGCGTGCGCGTTATTTCTAGACGTCAGTAAGGCATTCGATAGTGTATGTCACCGTTTGTTGCTAAATAAGCTGTCAATGGTGGGATTTCACGGTTCCTTTTTATTGCTGTTACAAAATTTTCTTCAGGATAGGCGCCAATGTGTTTCGATTGAACAATTTCGAAGTAACTTCTCGATAATTAAAGCTGGTGTTCCGCAGGGTTCAGTACTTAGTCCTTTATTATTTAATATTTATGTGAACGATCTTTCTAGTACCGTGCCCACTTCAATATTTCAATATGCGGACGATACTGTAATTGTAGCCTGCGCTTCTAAGTATTTGCACGCAATCTCTTTGCTTCAAAATGCGGCAAATAGGGCAATGGACTGGTTTGATGCAAATTTAATTTCTATTAATACGACAAAAACTCAACTAATTTGTTTTCATAGCCCATTAAAACGAGTCAGTCTCACTTCTCCGCTTTTTTTGCACACGTCTAATTGTCTTAATTGCGCGTGTACCCCTGTGAATTACACATCTACAGTTAAATACCTTGGTTTGATTTTTGATAGCGATCTTGCCTGGAATTCACAGCTCGCTCATATCTGTAAGAAGCTTCGCGCGGTGTCTTGTTTGATGTACAGTGTTAGATACGTTATGCCATTATCCGTTCGTAAGGTTATCATTCATGCCCTGGGCTATAGTGTGCTTCGTTATGGAATAACTGTGTACGGCCACTGTGCCCTTCGATGGAAAATAAGAATCAATTCAATTTTACGTTCTTTGTTAAAAGTTATTTCTTATGATTTAAGTCTTGATAAAGATACTGACGTATTTAGAGCATTATGCTTTCCGGATTTCAACTCTCTGTTGATAGAAACTGTACTTTTTCGTCATTTCTACAATAGTTCTTTTAAAGTACCTTATGCCCCAGCCCGTTGCCTAAGGCCAAAAAAACGTTACTGTATACCTCGGTGCAGCACAAGATATGGCGAACGCATGCGCCGTTACTATGTTCCCTCGTATTTTAACAAGCTTCCTATGAAAATGTTTTGTGCTAGTACAAAATACAAACTGAAAAAAGCGCTCAGAAATAGAATTGTATAAAGATTTCTTTTCTGTGTGTGTCATAGCTTGATTTATCTATGTGGGGTTTTTGTGTTTTACTGTCATTGCTTTACTTTGTCACTGTCTGCCAGGCACTACCTTTCAAGCCCGATGAGGCTTCGGTAGGCCTGAATCTGTACATGCTATTTTTTCATTCAATAAAAGTATTATTATTATTATTCATCCCCTGAAGAAGAAACAAATAGTTTCGAAATGTTGGGACTATCTCTTTCCAGATCTTTTCCACATTTGGTAGGCAAATTCCTTTTTTCCTGATTTTCTACCCAACCAGACAGAATTCTGTCAAATATGTTCACCTTTGGAGTAATATGCTTACTGTTTTCTTCATTCTACCACTGCAACAGACTTCTTCCAGGCTGACTTTTCAGCTCTTCTACTCCAAGTACAATGCAAGCTGGCAACAATTTTACCTAAAGTTGTTGCCACTTAAAGATCGGGGAAGAGAGGAGGGGGATATTTTGGCAAGTTGCTAGTAACCCCCAGACCAGAGGCTCTCACAATTTGTCATCTCACAAGCCCTAGCAACCAGCAACAAAGTTTGTTGCTAGGGTTTGCGAACTCCCCTGTCTCCGTGAACCATAATGCTGACCACCGGGCATTATACCAGTAAGAATAGAAGAGTTTAAAAACCAACCTGCGTGAGCTCTATTGCAATGATAGCAGAACTGAAAAAGTACAGATATTAGAATGAGCTGCGAAATTGGTCTTTCTCAATCTTAAAACGTTAGGGTGAGAGGGTGATCGATGTGGGTGCTGATGGAACCAAAGAATGATCTGCTCGACCAAGGAGTTTCGAAGTAATCACTTTGAGAGCTGCTGCCCAGCACGAAGACCTCTCAACTGAAACATTGCGACTTTTATCATTTGCTGATTTGGACTTCAATGCAACCAAGCAATAAGCAAAGTATGACTTCTACAAGAATACGAAAATGTGGCTTACCTTGCTCCGAGGAGCTGGTCCCAGTGAGACCACTCGCTAAAAAGGAAAAGTTTACAATTGGTCACCCTCCTCCAGTTTTGATTAGATCATTCTAGTAAATATTTATTTACTGGAGTAAGACTAAAAGCAGTCGGTGTACATTCTAAATTGGAACAAACTGCTTAGAAGAGAAGAAAGCACATGTGAAGGCAACTACAGTGGAACACTCTGGACACATTGAAGAGGAAAATGTGAAATAAAACGGTACTGTCAAGGAAGACATGTAACCTGACTTAAAACGCAAAGGCATTAAAGATGCCACACCCCATGGTCACGAGCATATGAGCTCGTCCACCATTTACGTGGTAGAGCCATATCATATCGATATGGCTCTACCACAAATGCTCCCTGATTTCCACTCACAGCTGCCCAAAGCACGCTGCTGGTTTTAAAACATGTGGCGCCGTGATGGAACCACCAACAGCGAGCACATTTGTATTACCGGGATAAACAGAAACGCAAACAACAGAATATGACCTCTTGCACTTGGGAGTTCATGCTGCTTATGTCAGGTGACACAACTTGTATTAAAAACTACCAGTTCCACTGGTCACATCGCAATTCATCCAGGTACTAGTCTGCTGTCGTGTAGGTTCAAGGGTGAACGAAACAGTCATTGTTTTCTGATTGCGTAATACCACAGTACACAGATATAGAAGGACCAAAAGGGGATAAGTGCCACGCAAATAATGAGGAGTAGAGTACTCTGTTGGCCTAGTTGGTTATACATGTTTAACCCTTTCAGTACGGAAGACGAGCTGAGCTCGTCCACCATTTACGCACAAATAATCCTGAAGACGAGTACAGCTCGTCCAGAGTCCGCATTATCAATACAACGATCCTGAGGACGAATTCAGCTCGTCTGTATCACGGAGCTTCTTAGAACGACCGACAGATGGCAGGAGAAGTCAAAACCGGTGAAATTAGCTGAATTTAGACGTTTTTTCGTGAGGCTGCTGGCTACACTGAACTTTAGAAATGGCGTCGTCCGGGCGGCCGCACGATGTGTGTCCACGCGTTGCGAAACAAGGAAAAAAAAAGGAAACAGCGCGCAGTTTCTGAAACTTCGAGTGAAAGCGACTACGAATTGGAAAGTGATTCTGGTGAGTCGTTGATTGATTATTTGACTTCAGATGAGAGCGACACAGAGATTGATGATGATTTCGACACCGCACGTGTGTGGACGAAGATCGACGTGGGCGATATTCCTCGTGCGCCACCTCGTTTCCCTTTTGTGGGATCACCGGGATTCAAGGGCCACCTGGAAGAAGGTGACGGCGTTGTCGAATATTTTGAACAGTTCTTCGATGAAGAGCTGGTCGACCTGATTGTCGCAGAGACCAACCGCTACGCAACCCAGTTTCTTCGGTCGCACCACGCTTTCCACCTCAAAACATGGAGACAGATCGACAAAAAAGAACTGATGACCTTCTTCGCGCTCATCATTCTGCAAGGGGTCATTGAGAAACCAGACGTGAAATCTTACTGGTCAACAAGAGAGGTTCTCCGCACGCCTGCATTCGGAGACGTGATAAGCCGCGACCGCTTCATGCTGATAATGAAATTTCTACACTTCACTGACAATGAGGCGCCAGTCGACGGGCACCCGAACCCAAAGCTTAGAAAACTGTGGCCCGTGCTCACCAGAATGACCGAGATGTTTCAAACTCTCTACACACCAGAGCGAGATGTGTCAGTTGACGAGAGCCTTCTTCGTTTCAAAGGCAGGCTGTCTTGGAAACAGTACATGCCACTGAAACGTGCCCGTTTTGGCGTCAAGTTTTTTGTACTGTTCGAGTCCTCCAGTGGTTACATCTGGAACATGCTTATGTACACTGGGAAAGGTGCTGTTGTTGGTGACGCAGATGTGGCCATGGGTACACGTGTGGTATTGTCCCTGATGAGTCCCCTTCTCGATAAGGGCTACTGTGTAACCGTGGGTAACTATTACAACTCACCCGAACTAGTTGAAGCACTTCTGGAGCGCAAGACAGATGTCTACGGAACAGCACGATCTGGACGCAAGGGAATGCCGAGCTTCGATACAAGACAACTTGAGAAAGGTCAAACTAAAGCTTACCAAAAAGGCAAGTGCCTCTCACTTCAGTGGAAGGACAAGAAGGTGGTAACCTTCCTCAGCACGGTGCACTCTGTGGCAATGGTGGATGTAACAAACCAGAGAGGTGAAGTTGCGTCCAAGCCACAGATAGTGATGAATTAAAACAACACCATGGGTGGTGTTGACAAGAGTGACCAAAATCTTTCATATTACCCCTGTGCAAGAAATGGACAGAAAATATACTACAAAAAGGTGTTCCGTCATCTGCTAGACATGGCCATCTACAATGCGTTCATTATCTACCAGAAGAGTGGCAACACCACCACACATCTTGACTTCAGGCTCAAGTTAGTGGAGGGACTCATTCAACTGAACTGTGACCCCCAGAGTCGACCCAAGAAAGGGAGGCTCTCTGACAACACTCTCTCGCGACTGACTGAGCGACACTTCCCAGACTACCTACCTCCAACTGAGAAGAAAGAGTGCCCAACAAGAAGATGCGTTGTCTGCACAAGAAAAAAAAGCTCGCAAGGAAACAAGGACGTGGTGCCCAGACTGTGGTGTCGCCCTGTGTGCGATACAGTGTTTTCGCACATATCACACAAAGGCAAACTTTTGAACGGGATGTCCTGGGACTGACTAAGCCCGTAGTCTCGTGAACAGAGACACCAGGTACTGATGTTGACAGAATTGCTTTGTAAATTCATGAATAAAATAAAGTGAGTATGTGCAGTGAAGCCCACTTTTTCCACATTACGTACAGTGAAGCCCCCTTTTTAACATTTATAAAAATATTGTTTGTCCATTTATGCTGTGCTTTTGATAAAAATTTTTATATGATTGTGCTCTACGGACTAGGCTGAACAGGTTGCATGAATAAAATAATTCCGGATTTTGAGGATGTTACATGAAAAATTATTACGGTACTGAAAGGGTTAAGATGGAAAACCGCAAAAAAGACGGGACACAATTGAAAGGAGCGAGCAACACAACACAGGCGCAGACTTACAACTGAATTTTTAATCTTTCCCTTCCTTTAACGAAGGAATGCAATGTACATGTGGGCCGCTGAGATGCGCTATCACTGGCTCGAATGGGCACGCTGAGGGCAGAAAACCTAAGGACGGTGGTGAACGCGAGCGGGACAGCGAGGAAACTGAGGACGATGGCGAGCGCGAGCGAGAGAAGAGCGATGGAACTGGGAAGTAAACAAAAAACCAAATTCTCTGTCTAATAATGAAATAGATGGTGCGCTAACACACTTGTCACTTCCACTGTAGGAAATCTGGGCCGCCTCAGAAATTTCCCTAGTGAGTTTGTCTTTGTTGCGACCTTTTATCTCAGTGGCACCAAAATTTGGTTTACACCCACATTCTTTACAGTGTAGGGCAAGGTGCGCTCCGCTTGCTGAATTCAAAAAGGCTCCGTGTTCCCTCAGTCTATCATTTAGACATCTACCCGTCTGTCCGATATATACTTTCCCGCAAGATAACGGGATGTGGTAAACCACTCCCGTTGAGCAAGGTACGAACTGGTTGTAATGCATGGTGTTGCAACCATCCTTGTGAGCGATCCGCTCCGAGGTTAAGGCGCATACCCGGGAGAGCTTACACGGGGCTGAAAAAACCACATCTACTTGGAACTTAGTAGCGAGTCTTTTTAAATTGTGAGAAACCCCGTGTATATATGGCATGACCTCAAATTTTTTTGGTCCCTCCAAGTGACCCATTGTTTCCTTAGCCCGCATACGCAAGGCCTTCAACATAGACTCTGCTACCGCCCTTATGATGGAAGGTGGAAATCCTGCTCTCAACAAACGTTGGGCCTGTGAATCAAAGCTACTCTGAACTGTGTGAGCACAAGATTTCTCAAGTGATGATCTCAGGCATGTCCTCACTATGCCTCTCTTAACTATTTTGGAATGGCTTGAATCAAAAGGCAGGAGGGCTTTTTTTGAGCGGGGTGCGTACTCCCAGCAGAGGTGGTCTAGCTGGAATGACAATGTTATGTCAAGGAATTGCAAAGATTCCCGCAGTGGAAGCTCGGTTGTAAATGTTAAGGTTGTGGAGGTGGCACGAAGTTTCTAAAATCCCGTTGGTGGCATCTTCAAGAAAGAACGCCAGGAGTTAACTTTTAATTAAAAGGACTAAAAAGTCATCCACATATCTGAAGACTCGGACCCGTTTGTCGTCAGCGAGTGCTTGCACTAACAAACGGTCAAAAGCAGCCAAAAAGATTTCGCATAACACTGGTGCCACACTCGAACCTATGCAGATGCCTTGCCTCTGAACTACAAACTTTACTTCGAAGCCCACAATGGTGGATGTTAGATAAATGGACAAAAGTTCTAAGAATCCATCTACTGACACACCACAGGCATTCTGGAACTAAACCGTTCCGGAGGTTTCGATGCAGTCCCTCACCGCGACAAAGAGTTCATCATGGGGTATCAAATAAAACAGCTCCTCAATATCTACGGCGAATCCACCATTCACACCACACAGGCCTTCTTGTAGGGCTTCGACAAGTCGCTCGCTCGCCATCGTCCTCAGTTTCCTCGCTATCCCTATCCCGCTTGCGCTTGCCACCGTCCTTAGGTTTTCTGCCCTCAGCGTGCCCATTCGAGCCAGTGATAGCGCATCTCAGCGGCCCACGTGCACATTGCATTCCTTCGTTAAAGGAAGTGAAAGATTAAAAATTCAGTTGTAAGTCTGCACCTGTGTTGTGTTGCTCGTTCCTTTCTTGTGTCCCGTCTTTTTTGCGCAGTTTTCGATCTTAAACAAATAATGAGGACCGGCATAAGCACAGCAAATATGCAACAAGAAAAATACATACCTGTATGTTTGAGTGCCAACACTGTAAACGAAAGAATCAAAGAAGGCTACCTCATTTTGATACGAGACAATGGAATAGCCACTAGCACATGCAGTATCTTTACTTTTTATATAATGTGCTTCCAAAAGTTTGTGTCATGGTACCTTTGCTTGTGCCAAAGATTCTGAGCTTGTGTAGGAGCGGCTCACATGCACAAGTGAGAAAGTAAAAAGATATGTGCGTGCTTCCTTTATTTGTAATAGACAGCTTAGGTTTCCTCGCACATTGACACAATGGCATCTCTAAAAATTAAAAAATCTAAGGGCACTTCAAGAGGTTGAATTAACACTGAACATAAGAGACAGATGCCCGAAGCTGTGCCGTGCTTTCACGAGGGTGTGCACAACGTTAAGAAGGTATAGGGTGCTCAAGGAGCTTTCTGTGCTACGAAAACTTGCGGGCATCTGTTCCTCTACACATCGTGCCTCTGACAGGAGCTCTGGCTGCCAGAAAAAATATGCCAGGCCCTCTTTGGGGGGAGGCCTGTAAGGGTCATACAGGCCATCATGTCAATGAGCGTGGAGACCTAACCCTGTTGGAAAATCTCGATGATGGAAAGATGACGGAAAAGGCTCATACAAGCGTAACCGTAATATGGGACATCCTATACAAGCGAAAAAGGCGGCTCCAGTATAGTGGAATAAGGCGGAACGATACAGGTGGGCGGAACCATACAAGCGTGTCGTATTATGGGACATCCTATACCAGCGTAGTGGATATAGGCGGAACCATGTAGGCGGACGGAACCGTACATGCAGAACGTAATATGGGACATCCTATACCAGCAAAAAGGCGATACCAGCATGGTGGAGCCATATGGCTCCAGCGTGTTGGTTTCGCCTTTTCACTGTTGTACAGGGCGATTTAGTTTTAAGCTTTACATATATGTTTAGAAAGGTCGTGAAAGCTATATTAATGTGGTTTGTGCAGGCGAGTTATACGGCCAGGCATACGTAGTATAGGGACCTAGTCGTAACGATCAGTCAGATAATTAAATACAATTTGTTAATCAACTTTTTAATTAGTGAAAATGAAAATATGGTTTCAATTAGAAACTTGCTGAGTCATTGAAAACCACAAAATCAAGTTTTTTTTAGAAGGATATAATTCAGGGGTAGCGTTTTATGCATTCTGTAAAAAGCTTTATTTGGACGAGTTTCTAGGTTTCAGTTTCTTATCAGAGCTCATCTCTGCGCCCACGGTCCTGTTCCCCAGGGGCATAGACACGCAACACACATGCGCCTTGCTTCCCTTCATCCTACGAGGGAGGCGAGGGGGCGGCTTCGCACTGCGGTCACCGGGCAGCTGGACCGCAGGTGCAAAGATGCGCTCTGGTAAGAAACCGAAGTCTGGAAATGCGTCCAAATTGACCATTTTTTTATAACGCCATAAAATGCTACTCGTCTTATATCTTTACAAAGAAAATTGATTTAGTGTGTTTTGATGATGCTTAGCAGGTTTCTAATTGGAACCATGGGTCTATTTTCACTGATCAAAAATTTCACGAACATACTATACTTAGAGAGAGGCTGAAGCAGTTTTGTATTTGAGAAAACACTTTTAAATCTTCTTCATTCGACCTCCAGAATCTCAAATATCAAAATTATTTGCTAATTTAATTAATCAAGGCTGCATAGTCATTTTTAAAGCGCTGTGAAAGCACCTCCCTAGAGAGCGACGTCACAACAGCAGCTTTCAAAATCTTTGTTCACGCATCTTCAGCGCCTATCAAAGCTATGCACGCACATGCAATTTTTTAAAAGGGCAGAAAAATGTGTCACGACTGGTGCCAGTGCCGGAGAATATACCTAGAAAACTTGCGATTGGACGCGCGGCCCTTAAGCGACACACGCTTGGCGGCCAAAGGTCTTCTTACGATGTCACTGTTGGTGGGATGTTTTTTTGTGTTTTCTCACGTTTAGTTATATCTTTGAGGAAAACGAACGGGATATTCAGATTCGCGGGATGAAACTACGCTAGAATGAACCTCCATCTAGTTTTCTGAAAGAAGTCTGGCACATCTCTGTAATAAGCCGACGGATCATTACAAATTAGCCTTTTATACTATGCCGCCCTGGCCATATAACTCACGTGCACAGACCGCGTAAAGTAGCTTTTACGGCTTTTTTAAAAAAAATCTGTAAAACATAGAAAAAAAACTCTGTAGAATGTCCCCCAATACGATACAATTGTATGGTTCCTTCCCCGCTTGCATTGTTCAAGAAAGACTTGTGGACATCCAGCGTTTCATTGGAATGCTGGATGTCAGCGAGTCTCTACATCAGTGA